ATAAAATGAAAAGCAAAGTATATGTGACTGTCGTGTATATGTTACGGTAAATCTGATTAATTGAAAATTATTAATATTTTTACAAAATTATTAATAATAACCACATGTTTTGGTAAATGTGAATAAACGATCGAAATTTATTACTTTTAGTAGTAATTATTAATAATTCGCGACACATATTAGTAAAAGTTATAAAATAAATAAAAACCCAATGTTTTTTGACCAGCAGGTATTTATTTATAATATTAAACACAGTCTTACAATTATATTAATTAGAGATCACACAAACTTTGTTACTTGTACTTGCAAACTAAGCAAACAACAAAGCAAGAAAGTCTTTAGTGGTACATAAAATTGTAACAAAAATAAAATTAAACAATTACTTATTGTTTCATTAACAAAATCAACACGAATCCTAAAAGCAACTCTTAACGCATCATATTTGGTTTGCCTGTAAATCTTCTGTAGCACCTATAAATGCAACAATTTAATTTTTAAAAATATTATCTTAGAATTTAACAAATATTTGTTGTGCAAGTAAAATTTATTGCTATTTAAATTGCAATAAAAATAACATCAAAATAAAACAATTAAAGACTCATAAAAAAAAGAAACCAAAGATATAATTTATTTTTGCAAGAAAGACTTTTATGGCACTTAGAATTGCAAAGAACGTGCATTTTTTTGCATTTGCAGCGATTAGAGTTGCATTCGCCAGTACAGTTACAGTGTTGAAAGCCTTGCCCCCCCCCCCCCAATTTGAGTCCTTGCGAGCACATTCTCGCAGACTGCAAGTTGTATCAGGAACCTCAACAATACTGACAAACTTTTCCTTGCAAACTGTAAACTCATTTCGTAAATACAGTTGATTTAGAACACCATACTTTGTCCCCAGCTTGTATAGGTTATGATCAGTAACTGACATAATAACACCAATTATGTTTAAGCTATCTGCCTTGGCTCGATCGACTTCTGGCACGCGTACCCTAACGCTGTCCTCTATTTCTCCAACTGGAAATTTTGTTTTGGATAGTTTTAACATTTTTTCAGCTTGCTTTTGGAGAGACTCTCTCGCAGAATCTCGAACTTCTTGAATTTTAGTGCCTCGCCTATGCGGTTCCCTCGCGTGGCATGCCCTCCGCAACTCTCGCACGTCGCACACACCGCCCCGTCCCGCAACCCTTGGCCACTTATTACATTTATCACTACTAGGGTTAAATTATTAATAAAAACCGACAAATGTGATTAATTTATCACTTTAACCTCGACTTTCGGTAATTATTAATAATAATAGATAATTATTAATAATCTTCTATTATTCACTCTTACCGTAACATATACACTGCTACACACATGAGTAACCAAGTACAGGGTTGAATATTATAGTCTAATAGCATGTTTACTCCTGGGAGCGCGCTCCAATAATCTCTATTTGTAAAGCAAATAATGGCAAGTCTTCATTAAAATCACAATAGAATCTATTGTAATAAGTCCGGAACCTCGCTCGGAGCAGTAAGCGGCGGGAGTACGTAATTAAACCTTGCAATTAACATGGACGTAATTCTTACTGAGCGCAAAGCGGCAAGCGGACTCTCGCCACTCCGAGCTCCGACTTGATTGCGAATGAATGCTCCTCCTTTGAAATATGATTACATTTATGTACTCATCGTTCTAATACAAAATGCGACCAGTGCTTCATTTTGGTAAGACACGATATCTGTAAGCTAATTCCTAAACGCAAACTAAAATAAGTAGTATCCCAAAGTAAAGTAAGTCAATTGAGACGTTGAACATTCTAGACGCTAAATCAATCTCTATGTTTAAGAGACAAGTGAGAGATGATCTTTCCTGATGAAATGCAGATTTATTTGTTTATATTTATATTGTTTATATCTGTATTTATTGGTTATATGTCATAATAGTATTATTTTAATTTATTTTATTTATCAATAGTTATTTATCCATTATTTCTTTTAGTTTCTTTTGTTATTATTATTTTTTTAAATTGATTTTTATCTTATTTGTGTAACTAACGCACTGTGTCTCGGTGTCGTTATTTCTTTTTCTGCCACAGGCCCGCGGGAAGAAATTTTAGTTAGAATATGTGGGGACTATGTACTCTGTTTTATATAGAGGTATGTGTTGTCTCTTTTTTATATATATGTTGTCCTTTGTGTTGTTTGTGTGTACATAATAAATAACTAAATAAGTACATGTTATTCTAGCCTTCTTCACAATTTCGGAAGAACAAATGCAAACTTTCACAATTAACATAAAATGTTAACAAATTCGAGCAATATAAAAAGGTAATAAAGTCCAGCACTTCGAGTTTAGGTAGTCTAGGAAATAAAAGTAACATAGTTTTGTGACGTCACTTAAAATTCTTTGTCCTACTATCAGTTAATTAGAAATACTAGACTGAGCTTCAAATCTACAGTAAACTATGTCTTTTACGTGAATTAAAAACTATTTCAAATACATCTGTCTCATTGGATGAGTTGTCGCAAGCGCAAGAGGCGCTCAGACAGGTCTCGCATTAAACTCTCTGACTAAGAAAATTATTTGACCAGAACATGGAATACCACCATGTGTGACACTGCTGGTCCCTAATTGACTGCACGGTTGGTGCGGCGGCTGGGCAACCGGCTGCCGCGCAACGTGTCGCGGGTTCGATTCCCGCACGGAACAACTCTTTGTGTGATCCACAAATTGTTGTTTCGGGTATGGGTGTCATGTGCATGTGAACTTGTATGTTTGTAAACGTACCCATGACAAAGGATAAAACCGTAGTGTGGGGCAAGTTTAAAAAAATACATGATATTTATAAGCTGTAGACCTTTGTGCAAAATATAACACCTAAATTAATAATGTAGATAGTTGAGGCCTTTAAGATCTAGAAATAAAAGATTATTGTTTTTTTTATGTTAGTTGTCTCAGGATACCTAGCCATATCTCCAAACCTAAATTCCATTGGATCTGATTAGCTACATATCAAACAGACTGGTTACCATGGCGCTTGGGAAAAACCAAAAACATTTTAATCATTCATTAACTAAGCTAACATGTTTTCACGGAACACTGCACTCTTTACATTAAGTACAAAACATGTTCTTTGATAAATAATGATGTAAAATGTAGCTCCATATTTTATCTTCATGATATTGCATGATATTATTATAATGTTTATTTTGAAATGCCAAGTAATAACATGGGTAGAGTGAAGAGTTTTCATTGCTTTGACTAACATACAACATATCAAAGTCCGCTTTGAGTTTCTCTTCAAACAAATTGTTAGACGTTATTCTACGAAATAACTTTGAATGAACAAGCTGGCTGTGTGACTGCTAACATGAAACCTTTGCTCAACGGCTACAGAAATTCTGATGTAACCGTTAGACGTCGCATATTGTTCAAAGGACCACAAAGCGCGCGACAGCTGAGGACCTATAGACAAGTCCAGTAAAATGAAAATTTATTTACAGATAAAGAAGGAAAATATAAGTAATTTTAGAAATACTAAAAAGAACTGTTAATTATGTGTATAACTAATGGATTATATGTCCTTAATTAAGTAGTTTTTAGTATAATGGGTAAAGCGACAATGTATGACTTAATTAAAAAAAATAATCATACCGAAAATGCAAACATGCAAGTAAGTACGTATATTATACAATTTTTTATGACGAGGAAAACCTTCAAAAGACGCTTAGGTTTTCGGGAAAAAATACTAGGAAGTGTGGGTCTCACTAAAACCACTCCGGTGGTCACCATTTTCACCTATAGGGGGGCACTGGGTCGTCTAATAGACTTGCTTCGGAGCCCCCCACGAGGGTATTACCTACAGTAGGTATTAATAATGTAATTGTATGTCTAAGTACTAAACATATGTCACACAAACAGTTGATGCTAGTGTTGCGACTAAGTTTCCCAGTGGCGCAGGTAATCCGATGTAAGTGCAGTGAGTGACGGTTGGTAGACAAACCCTACTTGGATCCCCCGAGACAGCGGTAGCTAGTCTAACTAGTTGCCAGTTTAAACCGAGTTCTGATTAGATAGACTCCTATTTAATTACATACAGTTCCAAGTACGTACATAGGTCGAACCTTGCATTGGAGCCGTGACATTTGAAATTGCCAAAATTAATTGAAGTTTTGAGAATTTTGGTTATTTATTTTGCAGTCAGATATCTTTTTCACGCTTTTTATTTGCTGAAAAGTTAAATTGGGGTATATAATGCAACAATGCACTCTTCCTTAAGTAGTTGTGATATCGCTACATATAAGTATTGGGCATTTTTATTGGGCCTATTTCTGAAATCCAAATCTAAACCGATACAAATTAAGGGCATACTTATTGCTTTTTTTTACGGGAAACTTTGCAATAACATTTATCTTAGTTTCCTTTACACTGATTTTATTTTTCCTAGAGTAAAATAAATTCTTATAAAATATTTTCATGTCAAGCTTTTCCTTCGTAAATATGTATGTTAGTTCTAAAGCCCCACATGTCGCATTGAATTTTCATACAAAGTTGTTCAAAGACCAAACGAAGTCGTAAACTTCCAATGTTCCCTACTTACCTTAGAAAATGATGTTCCCTACACTGTGTAAGTCGCATGCAGATCTCGCCATTATAGTGAAATACATAGATATATTTTTCCTATTTGCCATCTTTATGTCATTTTTAAATTTCCAAAAACTATGGAACCTGTTCATCTACTCACAATAAGTATATCACTAAAATCAGTTGAGGAACATGTAAAGAATATTGAAAACACAATCTGAAACTGAGACGTTTCTATAACATCTTAGATTTACTTCGAAAATAATATTTATTCCTAAGAAATAACATTTTCATATAACCTAAACTGATACTTTATGTATTTAATTTTATTAATTACACCTCAGTGTGCACATTTTTTCCGAAAAGATTACTTTTATATGTATCTTTGTTATATGTATCGTTGAAACTAGAGAGAATTGGAAAATGATTGTACTTACCTCAGCACTTTTCCATCGTACTGTAGGAACCGTAGGAGATGGTCTTCGTGGACCTTTGACCTTTTCGGTGGACGCACGTTCTTCCATCTTTCTTTCTGAGTGTACGCATCCACAGGCAACACCTCTTCTTTCGAGATCTCCATGCCTTGAGACTCCAGCCATTCCTGTATAAACCGTGTAAGCAAGTTATAGAAATGTAAAGCGTAAATGTATTAAAATAAAAGAGAAAATGCATTGACTAGTTTTTTGTAGTGGTAAGTAATGAAATAATCAAATACATAGGTAGTTTGAAATGGAGTGTTATCGATATCAGGTGTTCCAATAAATTAAACTTGGAATGTCAACTAATGTTCGATTATATATTAGGAATAGTAAAAAAAACAAATATAAGTTCTGAAGTATGTACGTATTTAAGTACCTAGTGGCAAGAACTAAAGGTTAGAAGATATGATGTCGGGGCTTTCGTTAAAATATTATCTGTACCAAGTTCAAAAGAAGCGGAACTTATTTATGAAATGGTTGGTGCAGCACTATCCCCCTCGCTTACACAGGAATAAGTAAAGTAAATTAGCAATAAGCGTATAATTATAATGAAATGTAGTTAGTTAAGTTAGATTAGAGTATGATGAGGCTGACATACCTTTGTAAGGGAAAAGCCTCTAAATAAATAAAGATTTTAAAAAAGTACCTAGTGATGAATGTAATGCCTGCCTCGTTGGCCGAGTGGTCGCATGTGCGACTGCCGGGCAAGGACTCTCGGATTCGATTCCCAGGTCGGGCAAAGTAATACTGGGTTTTAAAAAAAATCATAGTAGTAGCACGGAGTCTGGAATTGTGCCCGGTATATGGCAATAGGCTCACCCCTTATTCCCCTATTCCCCCTACACAGTGTACAATGTAACACCCACTTGTCGCGGAGAACCTAATTGTCGCGGAGAACCTAACGGGTAACCGGGGCTCCGGCTCGACGTGCAGGAGAAGGAACGGGGTGGTTTTTAGTCAGTAAGAGTCTGACACTCCCTTCCGCCTCACCCAGGCGGGAGCAGTCATTCGATGATTTTCCCCCATTAAAAAAAAAAAAAAAAAACTCCCACTTTTCACTATTTATGTTATGAGTCCTATGTAATAGGGGATAAGCCTATTGCGACATATAGGTATGGCTTATTTACAAAAATTGCATTCATAGCAATAAAATTAGACTTTTATTGGATTGGATTGTTAGAATCAGTATTGTGAATATTAATATTATGTTGATAGGTATATTTAGTACAGTCTCAAATGTAAGTTGTAAGTGTTAGGTATTTTCGCGCGAGCAGCCATGAGCCTCCGTGGCGCAATTGGCTAGCGCGTTCGGCTGTTAACCGAAAGGTTGGTGGTTCGAGCCCACCCGGGGGCGTTTCTTTTATTAAAATTATTCTTGATATTCTCATACATAGAATACAAGGTAGCAACCATATTACATAGATACTATTATAAATTATATTTTACTTTAATGATTAATATTTTTTTCATAAACATAATAAAATATTGCTATTCAATTACGACAGGAGTCAACAACGCATGATATCTCGACGCAATAATATAGAAATGTACGTTCTTATCAAGTTCCTTTCAACTTGATTTACTAGGAACACGATTAATATTGACTGAAACATAATAAAGTACGTACTTTTGTAGGAACACGTAAATTTTTTGACTTTGCTCGAGCGGAATGAAACAGGGTGAATGACCCGATTCTCACTTAATAAAATAAAAGGATACAAAACATGTCAAGTGTGTAATGGGGCCACAAATCAAATTAGGGGAAAGCGCTAAGAGATATGAGTATAATAAAAGTAGGACATGAGAAATTGGAACAATTCATACTAATATAGGTTAAGATTTCCTTGTTATTTAAGCGCCTAGCAAAATTTAAAAGGCAATCGTTGAGCGATTGTAATTTTATAATTTTGTAATGATTACTCAACAAATATTATAGTTAGAAAGTAAAAGAGAAATTCAACCTTTTACAAAAAGTATCGAATTAACTCTCTGTTATGTTCATCCATTGTTCGGTAAAGTAATGACTGTTGTTTATATTTGTACCAAAAAGCAACGAGCGTATTTTTTTCCTTCAAAAACAAATGAATTGATGAATCCGTTTCAGAACCGGACAGGCCTGCACGAAGCCGTAGTCAGTGAAAATGAAATATTACCACGGAATGAAAGCTCGAATATATTAATGGAACAACAAATACATTTCTGTAAAAATCACAGTCATTTATTTAGCATTTTCTTCCTTTATCATCAATGATTCAAGAGTGTTTAAATTTTGATTTTATTTACGGAGTCCCGAAGATTAAGGCGTCAGTTCTCTAGTTTGAGGATGCAAATTCGAATCAACATCAAGAAATCTAGGTTTACAGGTAACTAAAATACGAAAAGTTTTAAATAAAGAAGGTAAAATGGTGTTCCACGTAAGAATGGCCCAAACCTAGCATTATAAATATATAAACAATTGTATTATTTATTTATTTATAGAACAAAATATTTCGTGTAGACACAAAAACGTTACTATAGTATGTCATGTTCCAATCGCGTGCCGTCGTCGCATTGCTATAAGAAACTTGCCAGGCGCTTGCTAGTCAGACTGACCTCGGCCGAGATCTCGTGTTCAGACAGTTACTGTGCAAACAGAGTGGGGGCTCATTGTCCAGACCAAATAGCACCGATATCTGATGCTGACGGCTTGTATGCACGAGTTACGAAGGTCTGGTGATTCGATTTTGTACCTAGTTACTATAAAAGGAACGTTGACAGTTGAAGGTCACATGAAGTCTTCATGTGACCTGTTGTTTCTATTAAAAAACAAACGTAATTTTTTTCAAATAAGATTATTGGCTATTTTTTCTCAGTCTCAGAAACAAATAATATTTAAAAACACTCATTTATTCAGTTAAGTGTTAACAATTCATGAAAGACCTGTTGGCAGGAGAGAACAGATAAAAAATGGGTTTGCAAAATATTCGTTTAAAAATGTTATCGCTTTAATTTCCCGTCGTAGACACATAATATTCAATGGGGTGCCTACTCCTATATCTTAACAATTCGGTGAGTTCATCAAATGGACAATCAAAGTTTAAATTACGAATGACTTCGCATCTTTATAGCCGGCAATGAAACCGCCTAAATAAAAACATAACCTATGAAATGTTTATGAACCTAACTACATTCCAGAATTACTTGATAAAAATATAAGTGAAGGTATTTCAATAAAACTCACTGATACCACAAAAACTTAAAAAAGTGATTGATGGTCGACATCTTTTTTATGGTGGTAGGTATCGAATAATATTTTATAATAATTACCTAGTTATATCCAAAGGAAGGTAACTGATAGCGATCTCTGAACTTTGTAATCATAAGTAAATTATTATGTATGAGATTAAAAATCACGAACCGTGGATACTTCTTTTAATTTTGAATGCATTTCCGTTTTAGTATGAAGTCTCGCTGGTATATATTAAACAGTTTCAAGTAATGTATGTCGTGCGAACGCAGAAAGCCGTTAGCTGTGTGGAACGTCGTAATACCGACACGAAGTTGTTTGTGAGCTCGGCGGTCTCGACCGCGGCGTGTTTATCATTCGAGCGGTGTACTGCCGAGCGTGCGTACTAGTAACTTTACCTCTCGTGTCATACAATATAAACTGTGTACAAAATGGTCGCCTTTGCGTTAAACAACCCAGCAGTGCAGTCCTATATTGTGTATTCTGCTATTCTAGCTCTTAAATTGTTGTCCCTGGCGCCGATGACAGGTGTGACGCGAGTAATCCGAGGTGTGTTCGCCAATCCAGAGGACGCTAAGTCAGTCAAAGGAGGCAAAGTGAAATATGATGACCCTGCGGTGGAGAGGATAAGGAGGGCGCATCTCAACGACTTGGAGAACATTCCTGCTTTCTGGGTGCTGGGCGCGTTGTACGTGACTACTGGCCCAGTCGCCGCCTGGGCCACGCTGCTGTTCCGTGTCTACACGTTGGGCAGGATCCTGCACACCATCGTGTACGTCGTCGTACCGCTCCCGCAGCCGGCACGAGCAATCGCCTTCATCGTCCCCATGTTCGTCTCATTCTACATGGGTCTCCAAGTTATACTATATTACATCACTGCATTGTAAATAAAATTAATCTCATTGTTCATCCAAGTGCTCAATTGTTCTGCTTTATTGCTAATTATATTTTTATACTGATGTAAGTATGTTATTTTATTTACACAATACACAAACCTATTATAAAATTCCAAGCTTCCTCTTATATAGCAGGTATATGCATTCTCTCGAACACCAAAACAAGTGGCGGTTTATGAAAACTGGTTTTTAGGTACTTAGTTCGGTGAACACAAAAAAGTTATATAGAACCGATACAAGTCGCTTTTTTTCTTAAAAACCTTCGACAAGCGATCGTAAATCACCACAAAAATTTAATTAACGGCTAAGTACCTTGCCTTTTTACTTTGATATAATTCGTTGTATAATATTATATTACCGTAAACAATAAAAGACATAGTACTTCACACTGCATAGTAGAAATACGCATATAAATGATACATAGACACTCACATAATTTGTTTTGAGTAATTAAAATTAAATAATTAAATTAAAGTTAGTAAACTGCTTCACAACTATGTCTGGGTGTACGTGTAATGAATCTCATGGGTTCAATTCCCATGAGCTTCGGACATAAAATTGCTAGAAGATTTTTCTGACTGCCTCGTTGGCCGAGTGGTCGCAAGTGCAACTGCCGGGCAAACGGTCTTGAGTTCGATTCCCGGGTCGAGTAAAGTATTACTAAGTTTTAAAAAAAATAGCACGAAGTCTGGAATTATGCCCGGTATATGGCAATAGGCTCAACCCCTATTACATAGGACTCATGACATAAATACTGAAAAGTGGGGAAAAATTGTACAGTGGCATTAAGTGCTATAATATGGAACTCTGCCTACCCCTTCGAGGATAAAAGGCGTGATGTTATTATTATAAGGAATTTTCTAATTCAAATATCATTAATATTCTGGAGTCATGAAATAAGGTGGAACTAATAATGTCCCAATATCTGTGACCAATCTGAATATCTGTGACAATCGATTCATCTGAAAAAATATAACGGATCTAACCACTATTACCAAAAAGGGGACATGGCAATCACTCCATTTAAACCACTGGCATTTAATCAAATCCAATTAAAACTTTGTGCCGATAGGAAAAAGATTAAGTAAAAATAGTCAAAAAATAGAAAAATAAAAGAAGGTGTACTTCTTTTATTTTATACTTCATTCAATATGGCTCCTTAACAACTGATTAAAAATAAACATTAAGTTCTATATATAAACCTATACACGTTATACCTATTACACGAAAATGAATTCAGATTGCACCACCTACGTACTTTAATTTACTCAACATGATAACCCAACAGTGCTGAATCATGGTGAGCTCGCGAGTTGACTCCTATATTTATTACCGTCGACATCTCAGCCCAGATCGCCACTACAACGCGAACATTTCAACTGAACACTAATAACTGTCCGCGCAACTTCAAAGTCTTCAAATCATGGCACCCCTATCGCTAGAAGACCCGACCGTGCAGTCGTACCTGCTATACTCAGCTATCTTGGCACTTAAAGTTCTGGCTGTTGCCTTCTTGACCGCAAGGGCCCGAATCAGTAGAAATGTGTTCGCGAACCCTGAAGACGCTCGTGCAAGAAAGGGGGTAGTAAAATACGATGACCCCGACGTGGAGCGAGTTCGTCGCGCGCACCTCAACGACTTGGAGAACATTCCCGTGTTCTGGGTGCTGGGCGCGCTGTACCTGACCACTGCGCCCTCCGCCTGGCTCGCCACCATGCTGTTCCGTCTTTTCACCGCCGGCCGAATACTCCATACTCTGGTCTACGCCGTGAAGCCAATGCCACCACCAAGTCGAGCCATCGGCTTCAGTATTCCTTACCTTATCTCAGTCTTCATGGGAGTCCAAGTAGTGCTATACTACATCAGTGCGCTGTGATTTGTAAACTTTAAGTTAAGTATTTGTGATATCTCACTGAAGCTGTACAATTAGGTAATAAATATTATGTTAATGTGCCTATAATAACTTCGTTTTTTTTAATATCATCATCATCATCACCATCATCACCCCGTATACGTGCACTGCCGGATATAGGCCTCTCCAATGGCACGCCACTGAGCTCGGTATTCAGTTTTCCTCATCCAACCACTGCCAGCCACCTTGCGGATGTCGTCACTCCACCTGGAGCTGGAGGGCGTCCTACACTACGCTTGCCTAGACGCGGTCTCCACTCTAGAACACATTTACCCCGACGGTTATGGGTTCTTCGACAAACGTGGCCGGCCCACTGCCACTTCAGCTTAGTGATCCTTGGGCTATTTCGATAACTTTGGTTCTCTGTCGGATCACTTCATTTCGGATTTGATCCTTATAGAAGACCTTTGTCAGGCTTTGAGATATCTGTGACGACAAGACTTGATTGAGTTTCCTATACGCTGCCTATGCCCAGCCAAGCTGTATCCTTTTTTTAAATATTCATCACATTAAAAGTACCCTTAACCGACGAGCATGCATGAAAAGATTGATGACTGTTGATGAAGCGAAAGAGGTATGTAGGAATCGTAGTGATTGGCGTTCCCTAGTCTCTGCCTACCCCCATGGGAGACAGGCGTGAAGTTATGTATGTATGTATGTATCATCATATTAATCCAAGAAATCATCAGTTTCATGAATTTCATTTTAAGTGCAGAAGAGTAATTCGGTATCAATTTCACTGACATTCAAGATGAGCAGCAATAGTAATTGCGAGTGGGTCATAACAATAACGGTTTACCGTTCAACTATGACTTGGTTAATTATGACGAATAGGTAGATACTTACATACGAAAAGTAAAAAAAAAAATTGTATGGAACATTATTGTTATAAATTGTAAACTTTATCATACTAATATCAAATAAGAAATATTAGAAAACTACGTTGACTGTTTATCTACCTACTATTATTTGTTCGTAATTATTGATTGACGCTTTAGAACTATAAATTATTACTATTTCAACATAAACACTCTAAAAGTTTACATGTTTAAGTAATACCTAAACATTTTAGGTACATTTATAAATAACGTCCAAGTTCTGTTAATTTTAAATTTACGGAATCAACGCACAGCCTCTGATAATAATAGGATTGCGATTTTAAACATAAATCGAAAAACGTTCGTAGAAATTGTAATATTCTACGTAAATAATATATAAAAAAACGTACATAAAAGAGTCATATTTCGAATCTATTGAATGAGCTTCTGTTATGAGATGTTTGTCGATTAATATGCAAATATGTAAACACCTTTGCTAAACGTTATTTTAATGTTCTAAAAGTCAACACAGAAATTATCCACTGGATACAGAGCTTCGAATATTAACATAGCATCACTCCTGTTATATCCCAACGCCACAAAAGCTTAGGCAGATATCTTTATTACGTGGTATTTTGCCATTTACTTAATTAATACCCAAATAGCTAAACTTTGAATACTTTGGAAAATTGTGAATCATTTAAAATCACCTTGTCCTTGACAATGACACTATACCATCTGGTTAATCCTCAAGATCGACGAGACGAGTTAGTTTTTTAAAAGCATAGACAGCTACATGGCTACTGCCTACTACGTACGAGTCAGTGTACTCGGTTTGACAACAACACCCACTATTGGTTGACGAAATACTGTAGCTATACGATAACAAGTAACGAAGCGCTGTGTTACAGTGAACGAGGGACTCGGTCAGTGTGACCGTTATATCCCAGTGCGCCGCTCCACTCGGTCGGCTGCGAATTTAATAATCGGAAACGTAGCAACTGTGTTTTAGTGAAAAATGGCTCCGCTACCATTGGATGATCCAGCGGTACAATCGTATCTGCTGTATTCCAGCGTCTTGGGCCTCAAAGTTCTGGGTATGGCATTTTTGACAGCCAGAGTGCGATACGCCAAGAATGTGTTTGCTAACCCAGAGGACGCTGCAGCGAAGAAAGGAAAAGTGAAGTACGATGACCCCGACGTGGAGCGAGTTCGTCGTGCGCATCTCAACGACTTGGAGAACATTCCCGTGTTCTGGGTGCTGGGCGCGCTGTACCTGACCACTGCGCCCTCCGCGTGGCTCGCCACTACACTATTCCGTGTGTACACAGCTGGTCGAGTGTTGCACACTCTGGTCTACGCTGTCAAGCCGCTGCCTCAGCCAGCACGTGGCATCGCCTTCGGCATTCCTCTCATGATCACATTCTACATGGGAGTCAAAGTAATTCTACACTACTCCAGTGCGCTGTGATTTGTTAATAAGAATGTATTGGACTGTATTAGACGCGTGATGAATAAAAAAGTTATGTGTACTCATAACATTATCCAACTCGGAGTTGTAAACGAATGTATGTTAGATAAGTTGTGTAATCTTATCTAATCCTTTACTGTCGCGGTAGGCAACTGTAAAGTGACAAGTACATAGGTATTACTGTTGTATTTTTTTACAAGTGCTTAATAAAGAAATGTTTGCCCTATATAATTTGTTTGATTCAAAAATCGAATTAAGTACCTACTTAGAAATTCAGATTTATACACTCGATTAGTTACGAAAGTATAACACGATAAGGGTGATTATCCGCACTATCTAATCAAAGTTCGCTCAACACAGATATGAAAGAAAAATATTTGTTCAAGCTCTCAACAAAACTGTCAGTAATTCGCACACAGAGAAAGCAAATATTACTTTTTCATCATATAAATACTCGGAAACTAATAACATTTCAAAGCACGGAACACTGATTTCATACACACCAACTACTAAAATAATATTTATTAGTGTTTCGTTGATTGTTGTTGAAATACAAACTGACGATCAACAATGATTATGTCAGTGTGAAACTAATACTCAGGTATTAATTTCATTCCAACTAATATGTGCGAATATAATCCGTTCACAGGAAAATCAAACTGACATATGATAATTTGAGTATTTGAATGAATATTAATTTGTAAATTATGTAAAATTTGCAAAATGGCAAAAATGTTTTAAACAATAGACACTCGTTTTGAATCACAGAATAGAGGAGTGATGAAATGAAATAAACATGACCTGTATAACATCGTTGGTGGAGTAAAATGATGCTTTCTGGTTTCGAGTATATTCTTCGGATTAATAAAAATTAACACACACATCAGCCTATAAGTGGCCACTGCTGACCAAACGGCTCTTCTCACACGGAGAATAATTAGAAATAATAAATAAACCCAGGTTTCCTCACGATGTTTTCCTTTACCGTTTGTAAGTGGTGTCTAAATAATTTTAAAAAGTACATGTAACTTGGAAATAGTCACATAGGTAATTGATTTAGATTTCGTTGATAGGTCTTTAACCGGACCACCACGACATGACACTAAGCTTTTTACTTCCCGAGAGGTTAGTCAGAGGAACACGTACCTATTATTGAATATAACGCCAATTTTATTTTTCATAATTAACTAAATTTGAAATTCAATATATAGGCGCATATTATTCGACTGTAGATTCGCATTCTAATAAATTATTCCAATAGAAATCATATAACAATGCGAAAACCGAGTGTAAAGTATATTTACGTCTGCAATTCCCTCGGGAATTGACACGGGTGTAAGTTATTGATAAGTTTCCTAAGTTGAGCCTAGGGAGTCTGTAATTTTAGCTTCAAAGGTTTGATACTAGAGTGTGAATGTAAGTAATGAATAATGATTTTAATGATAGTATAAGCCTGAACATGGCTAACTTATTTTTATAAGATAGCAATCATAGATTACCAATTGTAGTTCAAGCTTCTCTTTTTAGCTCCAACAAAACAGTACTAAGTACAAAAGACCCTATCAATTGCCAATCATTAAAGTATTTGAAAGGAACGTTTTTTCCTGTAATTAATTCCCTCGAAACTATTTTGTAAAGGTGCCTCATTTAATAGCGGCGGGTCAGTAAATCCAGAGATTCGACACACGAAACTAATTGTGTGCAAAGAACATAAAAGGGCGTGTATCAGTTTACTGGGCAGCCAGCGTGGCTGTAACGGCGACAGGTCTATTGTTCCCGGCAATAAACACATTTCTTTAAGCCCCCACGACCTCCCTTTGGCTTTATTCGGAAAGCCATTCGAGGGGTTTACGGCGGCCATTCGTTTCACATTATTGCTCTGTTATTGCTAGGAACCGCATTTTGAATTTTAAAATGTGGAGATAATTATGTCTCAATATTGCGGCGTCGTGGCTCTCAGATCGAATGGCCTGATTTAATGGCGTTTACTTAAAGGCAGCCATGATGATGTCGTATCTTGAAAGTGTATTGGTGTACTGATAAATGCTTGGGAAAACTCGCGTTTTTGACTCAGGGATGGATATTTTTTCTTTTTCTAAAGCACTTTATTGAAACCCAATGGGACATTAAATAGTATTAATGAGGTCAAACCTTATTAATACTATTAATACTCACCTGAAAGTATGTTAATTACGTCTGGTTTCAAAGCTTATTCTGTATTAATCAAATCAACCTCAAATCAATCTTCTTTTTTTATACAATAGGAGACAAACGAGCAGACAGATCACCAATATCAATTATTAAGAGGTAAGTAGGCCTCGTATTAAAATTTATATTGATGGGAATTAATCAGCATGAAGACGTCTATATTTTTAGGGGGGAATATCATCCAATGACTCCTCCCGCCTTGGGTGAAATCAGTAAGAAGCAGAATCAGACTCTTACTGACTAAAAACCACCCCGTTCCTACTTCTGCTCTTCAAACCGGAGCCCCGGCAACAGCATATTGACACCTAATAGCAATATTTCATCATACATTAAAAATGCAAGCTTAATAATTTGATCTTAAAAATATACAAGATATATTTTAGACATTTATGTTTTTGTATCGTTTTTTTTACTATTTCAACATCTTGCGTAATGTTTATTCGCTGATGTGTACCGGTATAAATATGATGGTATCAGATGACTCGACAACTTTTAGTAAATGACATGCATATTAAATAAATCCTCGTTTACGAAAATAATCATGACACGAGAATAAAGAAGACCAATCATAAATGAACAACACAATAATTTTAATCATATCACCTACAGTAAGTGTACTATATATATGTTGGTATATTGACAACAATATTTGTATCCTTTTCGCTTTCTCGCGATAAGTTTGTGATCTTTGTATCCATTTGATTATAGAATGCGTGACATGCATTTTTTGCTTATTATCTTATCACCTTAATACTATTTTAGGAAACTTAATTAGGAGTGCCTCGTTGGCCGAGTGGTCGCAAGTGCGTCTGCCGGGCAAGGGGTCTCGGGTTCGATTCCCGGGTCGGGAAAAGTATTACTGGGTTTTTAAAAAATTCTCAGTAGTAGCACAGAGTCTGGAATTGTGCCCGGTATATGGCTATAGGCTCACCCCCTATTACATGGGACTCATAACATAAATAGTGAAAAGTGGGTGTTACATTGTACAGTGGTATAATGTGCACCTCTGCCTACCCCTTCGGGGATAAAAGGCGTGATGTTATGTTATGTTAATTAGGAGTTAATGAATAAGAAACTTTAAGCTTGGTTACGCTTCTAAAAACCATACTAAGCTATATGTGACTATGAAACTTATAAAACTGATAGTTCATTTAGACTTCAGACCATGTGTTTTCTATCTCGTCATTCTATTACTAAATATCCACTAATAATACAAGAGGCTTGTTTCAACAATTTGTACAGCTTCTAGACATTCATTCCAGGAATCTTTAGGCCTAACATATTATAGGGGAGAGGGTGGTAACCTCCTCACATACTTGGAACAAGACAGAAACCTCTCTCACCCTGAGTATCGGAATACCATGTAATTGAACTGTAACTTGGAATTTCCATGAACTAGTTATCTTCCCACGAGACGAAATAATGGTTTAAAGCATGTTTATCCTAAACTCATGTTTACATATGGAAATAGTTTTAGATACGGATGTACTTTGTAAGTGTCTGCTTGTACGTTTATTTGTATTGATCAAGGTCGTGCCGTAGGAGTTATTTTGTGTTATGTTGTTGATTAAACTGTCAAACACCAAGCGGTCACCGGTGACCGCGACCTATTGTTCTTTAATTGTGTCTATAAAACCGGTACTCGACGAGTTAAAATAGAAATAATTACTATTTCAGTCATTATAAGTCTGTTTACGTAATTTTTTTGAACGGTGGTATATCATCGAATGGCTTCTCCCGCCCTGACTAAAACCACCCCATTCTTGCTCCTGCACTTCGAGCCCCGGCAACCCGTTAAGTCCATTAAGTTTTGTAACTATAGAGGTTGTTTATTTTCAAGATAAAGTAGGTACTAAAGTTACCCCTTATTCATCATCATCATCATCAAGCGGTAGATGTCTGCTCCTGACCGCCCTTTATTTCATGTTGCTTACATAATTAATACACATTACAAGCACGACTATTTTGATCCACGGTACAAAACTAGTCAAATAAAAGTAAGCAGTAACCTTTGGACTTTCAAAGATCAAAGGACGGATCGCTGGCCATCATTAGATTATTCGGAACAAACCTATTGCTACTTGCAAGTATTCCTATTGTCCGCACTACGGAGTAAGTATTGTGATGAAACTTCAATTTGCCCGTAATCCTGTTCCACAAAGGTAACATTGTATACTATCCATGATATAACAGTATTGTTGTGTGTCAACTCCCCCGGCCCCCAACACAGCGCACTTTTATTTTGGTCGCAATGTTATCAAAGAAAAAGGTTTAATAAATTAAAGACGCAACATTTACTCGGTTTGCTCGCTACGTTTCACATTAAACATTGATCCATTACTTACATTGCAAGTGCAATGAATTGCATATAAACATATACCTAGGCAGACCAATAAAAATCACTCATGGAACCGTTACTTAAGTACTAAAATTGAACTACGCCCCTTGGAAACCACTTTACTTTGAAGCTTTGAATTCCTCGGAGTGGAGTTCTAATCCTCCTAGCAATAAATTCTACTGCTGGGAATACCGACTTTTACGGAGGTGAAAATGAAAATTAAAGCCGACCATATAAATATTTTAGAGAGAATTACGGTTATTACATATTTTCCCTTTAAAAATAAGCATTAGACTTGCAAAATATAATTTGCGAGATACTTACAGAATTAGCGAAACAACATCGTTAACATACACAATACACAATAGACGACCTATGATCTTTGATAATCAGAGAGCGAGAGCCCCCTGGCTGCGGCCTGCGTTCAACCGCGACCTTGTCGGCGCGAACACAAATTAAATAACCTAAAAATAGTTCGCCGCGTTGCCGACAATCCGATTTCCTGCCGAATTACGTTCGTTCACCGTCATTTACTATATAACAGGGTAAGATTATTGCATTAATATCATTTTGCATGTTATTAACACTGGATATTTGGGATACAATGTTATTTCTTTGAGATTGAATGAATTCATGTTGAGACTAGACTAACAAAGAAAGGTTAGATGAACGAGTTGAAGCGAGAATGAGACGACGCTATAGGTTATTGACCGTCTAGTTGCTATTGCCAACGTGTAGTGTTTATGTGTTTGATCACATTGTTGTGTACTATTCAATCGCATAAGCGGTCATCGTGTTAAGTAAACAGGTAAATATTAGCACCGCAGTCTAACATTATCAAAATTTTGAAAACGTTCAGTAAGAATAACGAATGTGGAAGAACTGCGTTACACCAACATTTCATTATTATTATTCTTGTTCGAAAGTAAATATTGGCAATTCAATAGTTATTCAGCATTTAATATGCACTATGAGTGTCGATAGTAATTGACAATATTCATAATAATCATTACCCTGACATTGAGAAGTAATGAAACACAAACACGGTCAGTATATCAGTTGTCACAAGTGCGACAGTCGCAAGTCGTCTCATTGCACGTATGTCCGCCTTGACGTCAGCAGCCAGACAAGAGTGTGACATAACAATTTTATTTAATTACCTACTTCAGATTCTATTGTTTGAATCATACGTATAATTATTTTAATGAACAGTTCAGTTAGGCAGATGCTGCTAATCGAGTGCCATTCCTTATTGAGTTGATTTATAAAACAATGTTCCTGTTTACTTTAAGCGTAGATTAGTAATCTTTTTGATTTTTCATAATTTCCAAGTTTAACTGTTTATAAAACCACTTAAAGTAATGCAGTTAATACCTAGTTACTTTTCACGTAAAATTGTCCACATCTCACGACATCCACAAGCTTAAAAACAATTAAGAATATGATTACATTGATGCGTTTATGCAATATAATTATTAACATTGTACCCACTTTTTAGTAATCTTTTTCTCTGTTAACCTATAACAATATTCTTAAAAGCAATGAACTACAATAAACAAATGTATTAGTAGGTATGTACTTACCATAAGAAAACCTAATAACACTAAAACTAATAGCCTTAAAAGCCAGGACTACGCTACTAAATCACAAAGAATTACGTTATAAACTTTATGGGTGCTTGTCTATACATACACGCCATAGAGAAGTAGTAGATACGTACCCTAGTAAAGAGGTCGCACGAAACAGTATGGAATACTTTGCCATAGATACAAAAGTCCTTGCCAACGTCGAGGTCCTTCCAATGCCAGTACTCGCCAATGTCATTCTTTGGTATTTTCCCCCTCTTCACCATCCTGCCTTGCCATATGCCAGAGTTCTGTAATCAAGTAATAACAGATTATAACTATATTATTGATAGTTCATTATATTGTATTTGCGTTTATTAATTTGGAAACCTATTACGGATTTAGCGGTGAATATGTGATCATTTCGTTTTTAAAGTAAAAATATTGTTATAAGCATTTGCTTTTTAGTGAAACCATAATCATAAACCGCATAAAACAAAATAAGATCATCATTCTAAAGTCTAAAATAAGCAAAAAATAATATTCAGTTCAACCCAACAGAACAATATTACAATAATAGAAAATCAGACTAAAAACAAAACATAAAAGTTTTCTTTTTATATTACTAACTCGTGTATTACTTTACACAAACAAGACCTAAAAATACTCCCAATTACGATGGGACACAACTATCAATTAAGTAGGTAATACACAAACCGTCAAGAAATCTGTCAGCAGCTACATCATAATTTGGATCACTCAAATTCATTGACCTTGTAAGCGAAAACATCAAAAAGTCTTATCTACTGCCGGAAGAAAACTCGTGGAGAAGTGTTATTACGGCAATCACTATTAATAATAATAATAGCTTTATTACTGAGGAATGGGAAGCAACGATTATGCAACCTCCGCCCCTCTTGTAGCCTGAAGTCCAACGTGCTTATTAAACTGAATTATACTGAAACTTTATATTAAAACTAGTTAAACCAATAAACTTCGTTCCGCCTAAAATTTTTTTTATCACTTTATAAACCTTCCCTGGACTTTTATGAACATTACCCATATCAGTTCAGCCGTTTTCGAGTTTTAGCGAGTCTAACTAACGGAAATTCATTTTATTTACATATCCTATTGATATCGGTGCAGTAATTCTTGAGTTCATCAGGAACAGACAGACGCCCTGTGGCGTTGTATTTGGAACATTAATTTACTATGTACTTTAATCTTTGCCTTACATATTCCAGGTATAAATAAACGATAAAATATTCCAACTCAATAAAGAACTGACGGCTACTAATTTCGAGTGTTTGGAATGTATTTAGGACAACGGTCGACCGAAGCTGTTGTAATTTAAATTATTTTGTAAATACCTACATGTATACCGACGTAGCACCCGACCGTATTGATTGCTTGCCACCAAGTTCAGTAATGTAGATACTAATGTTTTGATAATATTGTACATTACTTTTCTAATATGCATTTAAATTCCAATGCAAGCCATGTTTATTAACATTTAAAACATACCTAGCAACCACAGTTTAGAGTGTTAGTGGTACATTACTAAAGAAGTGTTTGTAGGGGTACAAAAGTACGTGAATTCATAATTTTCTGATTTGTACTTTAATTATTCTAGATCGACAGAACAAATTCCTGAAAATAAAACGCTGTCCAATCATCCACATTTTAATGAAAACTATATTTTGAAGAATACAAAATTATACTAAAAGTAACTTCTAAAAACCATTTCATTGAAAATTGTAACTTAAAAACTGCACAATACACGCATCACACGTCAACGGAGATAAAATGATTTTTGTGTGCATAATAGCGGCCGGCCATTCACGGCGCGAGCCTGCGGAACAAAGCGGCTGCAACCGCCGACGCATTCAGCCCGAGACAAATGCGTGCTCATTTGCTAGCTCCGTTTCAGATCCATTCACAATTGCAACAGAATCCCATCCCATACGTGAGGTAAAATAAATACGCACACATTTAAATTGTCTGATTATTTTCTTCATGTTTTTGTCCGCGTATTTTCCGTCAAACGATCATATCGTTTTAGGATGATTGCTGTCTTTATAGTCTGATTAAATCAAACGTCGCAATAGGGATGCGATACGCTTTCTTTTCTAAACCAAACTGTAAATCTCTCATACATACATACCTGCTTGCCAACTGTTATCGATAGTTTTCAAAACAACAAAATTATTTATTAAATTAGAACGAAAGATCGCGAAAGTACACATACGAGATTAGATAAAATTAAATGTCTACGATAACACACCCAATATGATATAACATCGACAATTCTTTACGATTATTGTAATGCTACGTGAAGATTAAAGTCTACGACATTGCTACGATAACGCTACGACACGACGACGCCACGAAAGAACGGCTACGACATCGCTACGACGCCGCTACGTATCAACCCCTGTGTGAGACTACACGTCATTTCTTACTACGCTAAATATTCTCGCGTCACGCGTACTTTGCATACCTACCGAGACATTCTAAAAGTACTTTCACGAGAATATTCTCTAATAGATTTCATCTTTAGTATTAAAATATTCGCTTGCCATCTAAAGAATTCCATTTATTTTCATACAAAATAAAATATTAAAACCACATGTGTTTTAATACTTCATTTTATACACGTAAATAAAACGTCTGTTAAACGGCTTTTCCACGTTGTATATCATAACCCCGCGCAAACATAACTTCCCTGGAACACAATTAAATGCAGCCGTACCACAATACGCTCTTTTTATATAAAGTTAAATAAAGGTTTGTAGTAAAAGGTCCATTTGCGAGGTCCACATATGAAAGTGGTGAAATACTTTAGTAGGGTCGTGTCGACACTGGATTGGGCATGCTAAATATAATATTGTTTCACGAAACACGCGGCGCCGCAATGCCCGCACAGAATAGCAAATAAGAAAAACAAAATCAATACGTACAAATAAGTAGTAGGTATTACGTAGAGAATATAAAGAGACAGGAGAATTGCATTACCCGCAGCTATCTGCTTAGGTATCGGCCACGTATTGGAGTAAGCAGCGAGTCTTTACCTCTAATTTACATACTTGAATATGCTGTGAAAATCGTTCAGTGAGCACGGTGGATAGTAGTCTTATTAAATAAATAAATTATTGAAATATATACTTTACGTAAATGAGCGTCAACAGTTTTAGTCAAAAAGTCAATCTGTATAATATAAGAAACTAACCTGAACATGCGGCTCCATGACAGTGAGAGTGTCGTCTTCTAAGAAGTAGATCATGTTCACGATCCTGACGCGGCTGCTCTCGTCAGGGTTGTCAAACACAGGCTGCTTGAAGAACGCCGTGAAGTTGAGACATCTCTTGTCATAGTGCACCCAGTGCGGTACCACGGCAGGTAGGGCTGGCTGTTTCACTCTCCCATACGTAAGGGATGGGTCAAAGCTGTAAACACATGTCATCATTATTTTTTGCCTTAAACTTGAAAGAGGCTTAAATTCTACCGTAACGTGTGTAATGTCACGTATTACGGCCATAATGTCACGAATGGGTCGGCTCGACCGGAGTGATACCACGGCCTCACAGAAAGCCGACGTGAAGCAACGCTTGCGTTGTGTTTTGTCGTGTGAGCGATGTTATCGGGGGCACAATTGCCACCTCCCCTTCCCCAATCTCCTCAATTGCTTGAATTCCTAACGATCCTCAAACTCCTAATCCCCAAAAGGCCGGTAACGCACTTGTAACGCCTCTGGTGTTTCAGGTATCCATGGGCGACAGCGATTGCTTACCATCAGATGATCCGTCTGCTCGTTTACCAGCTTATGCCATAAAAAAATAGACGGAACTAATTTACTGTTGTAATAATCTTAGCAGCTTTAGCCAAATCGTCTGTTCATTGCTCGAAATGAATTTTGCATACATTTATACATTCGTTTCAAGTCAATAGTCATTTTTGCTTAGTCTGCAGGATAGATTAATTACTATTAATTTTTCTACTTCAACAAATATAAGACTTATATACTACATACATAAGTTAGTATATATTCACCTGAAGCCTACTACAAAGTTAACGTTTCTCGGGTAGTGATAATACCGGAATGAACCATTTGTACCTCTAATAGACCTTTAGTGGTGAAAATTAGGCCGCAATAGAGGTGTACCGAGTAAGAACGGTAATTGCCAACTCTGTGCGATCTCAATCCCGGTCTATAATTGAACATTACTCGAGTGACCTTCGATATTGAGCACAGGATCGGAAACGGACGGAATACGTGTACGGAACACAGTAATGTCGAAAATGTTCACGTCCATTAAAAAAGTTTGATTTATATGAAATGCTCGAGTGCTTTTTTAAGTTATTTTGACGATTTGAAGTACATTACTTTTGTACATTACTTACTTACAGTTATTGATTACGTACTTAAATGTGGGAGAGTCATACTTCGGCACGAATGGGCCAGCTCGACCGGAGTGATACAACGACCTCGCGAAAAATCGACGTGGAACAATACTTGCGTGGTATTTCGTCGTGTAAGTGAGGTTACCGGAGGCCCAATTACTTCCCTTCCCAATCTCCCCAATCTCCGGATACTCAACAATCCTCAAATTCCTAATTCCTAAATGGCCGACAACGCATTTGTAACACCTCTGGTGTTTCGAGTGTCCATCGGTGGCGCCGATAGATATGGTATTAAACTTAATTCTGTGAATGGTACTCATAAGCAGACATAATGATTTATTTCGATAACCTAGGTTATAAGTAGGAGGTTAGTTATCTACACTCTCTATCCACCTTGTTCCAGATAATGCGAAACCCGGGGTTCTCATTGCTCAAACACAAGTAGGTACTTGATTGAGTGTAATCTACGCTAGGTCATCGACATTAGCAATTTGTTTGCGTCAGACATTCTAAGAACTTCCAAAGGATGACCCTAGGCGCGGGAGTCACTCCGATACTTGGTGGATCATTGCCAAATAATTAAGCTATCAAAGAATGGATATTTTTCGCAGCGACACGACACTCGACGATTTTCCTATACTTGAAACATAAGTACAATGACCTGTACCCCTAACCGGACTCTCTTCTTCTGAACTTGTTATAAGGTAACATGATTTTAGATGAAAAACGAGATTAGTTTTATTCCTCTTTTAGCAGTGCATATCAGTCAAATCTAACTCTATTTAGAATATTTACACACTAAACTGAATACGACACTAAACTATTACGTAAGTACTACTTAATCAACTAGCATCGAACCATCCTTTAAGTACAGAACTAGACACTACAGACATGCCGTCAAGTCGAAAATTATCGGAGATCGGCACACTAAACATCGTGTTGATCTTGGACTAGTTGTTAATTCTTGTTGACTTACTTGACGGTGTCCTCGGGGAGTGCGAAGGCGTTGCTGTCAACATCTGTGGCGGTGCCCCCCGGGCCTCGGATCTCGGTATCAGGGAACCTGTGCCCCTGGTAGTACCGCAGCGAACTTCGCATATGATATTGTGTCTTAGTCGGGTCTGAGAACGTCAGACCCGGCAGTTTTGGAAGTCCCCAGGCCATAGTGAGCTTTAACAATGTATCTTGTTAGTACGATGTACGCATGTAAGTTTCAGCTACTTAGCTATTTACGTTACAATACATATTTACGGAATATAATAAGGGCTATGTACAATGTGAGTTGTTCATGGTTAAATATGTGTGAAAATATGTTGTGCAAGATTTGGTCTTAATAATAAATTCATTATTTAATTGTATAGTACAACAGTACCAAGACTACAAAAAAATATTAGCTGCATAAGAAATACGAACGATAGCTAACAATAATTTATATCATTCACTTCAGCACAATAGAACATTCCAGATCGTTCCATGCTAAGCAACATCGTCTTTGTCTGCAAGTACCTCTAAACGGAACCAACTGTCGTTGTTTGCTGACATTCCCGTACTGTAAGCCCGCGCTACTCAGTACTAGATAAATCTACACAAACTCCATCTGCGTCGAGCACTTCCTAATCTATGTCGCTTGGGAATATTTTGATTGCGAAATACACTATTTACTTAGCTTAACAATGCATGAATGAGTATTGTAAGTAAACCAGACAGATTTAAATGTGCATGGGCACGTGGTATGCCAGAATTGAGTATGAAGAAACAATTTTCAAATAATCAAAGTTATTCCTCTGATAAAATTTAACTGAGCATTGAAAAATCGCCCCTAAGTCTAAAATCAATACATCCGTTTTGGAGATCGTATCCTGGAGGCACACACACAGAAACAAAAGCCCCAAACTTGTAATCTGAACCTGAACACCACGTAAATATATGTATTGTACAACAACGTGTACGACGTGACAAGCACGTAGCGAGTAGTCAGATAAGCGATGTGCTCCGTGAGCCTAAACCACCTTCAGCCAATGATATCTCGTTCACGCATCACGCAATTCCTGAGATACGCACGCAGGAAATGAAGTAATCCAACGATTTTGTAAATCGAGTATCGTGGAGCTGTCTGGTATCGAACAGACTTTTCGAATATATCACTATAATATACTAGCATAACATATACGGTGATCAGGTGATCCCAAGTATATTTAGAAGCAGTACTCTCACGTGCTTAGTAGTGTATATTTTTTTAATTATAAAGATTTAAACATAAAAAGCTCTGAGGATTTACTAGATTGCTAGAGATAGAAAAAAAGCACTTATGTTTATGAATGAACCAACTATAAAACAAATCAGACATCAAACAATTGATGTTTGTTAATAATAAGAAAGAAAATCAAATTCTATGTAAAGTGAATAACGTTATTTTTAGCTTGTTACTTTGAAGTTGAGCCCCGATTGCCATACAATGTTCGCAGCGTAATGAAATTATTTTTCCTCAGAAATGCACGAACGTGGTAAATGCCGACATAGGTGGGTATAACGTACAAAATAATAAATTCTTACCTAAAATAGAATACAGAAGACGTTAAGTCGATGTGAATAAATAACGAAGCTTTATAAAAACCCAAACTAAAGAGGAAAATGTTACGAAAAAACTGCCTTCGATAAAATGAGCAAAATATGACAACTCCGTTGTCGTGTAAACAACTTTTAAAATTATAAACAAATCGTTGCTAGGCAATAATAAATTATCGAGTTCCTTGGAAAGGACCTTTGTGGTTATAAAAATCAATAATTCCTACCAATGCATAGAATTTCGCCGACTCCGTAGCCAGGCACCTGTATAGTCAATGTTATTACTGCACATGCGTACGAACAAATTTTAATAAAAACATCTGTTGGTCATCAATGTACCCTTCGTAAATATCGCTGTTTACCAGATATGACAACAAATCTATTTCATTAGTAATAGGTGATTTAGTTGACAATGGTATGTTATGTACCAATGTAACGAAGAAAGCACCATCCACGACTTAAAGAAAACATCAATGGAATCACTAAATAAATAAAACAATTACAAAGTTAATTCTGTTGTAGTTAATTTAGTTCCTACAGTAATAAACAACCTCCTCAATTCAAATTGCTGTCATACATGTATATCCTACATACACACATACACAAAGAATAAGTAGGTACGAACATTGTCTAAACCCGAATCCCGAGGGTGTGGGGTATAATGACGGTGTTATATTAGCCACAATGTCAAACGTCACAGGTGAGATGCGAGGGACCCGTGTCGTACGTTGATTAATGTGCTCAGACCGATAGATAGCCTTCATCAAAAGTGTCGAAGTACGCAGCGCTGCGCGCTGCCCGTCCGTTTTCGTAGTCCTGTGTCATGGGCGCTCATGCATGTATAATTTCCTTCGGTGTCTGTATAATTCCAATCGTTATGTTTAACTTTAATGTATCAACTTTTAATAGAGACGTTTTTGCTCTATAAAAGTTAGCACAAGGTATGTTTATATCATGTTTCGAAATACCGACATAATAATATATTTTTCGCGAAGTTTATTCGGATTCTGTACTTCGAAATGTATCTAAATGGAGACCGTTTTCGCTAACGAATGAATTCCTATTCGCGACACAATCGCTGTTAAGTGAACTTTGCTGAAACTACATTTAAGCTCCTGCCTGTGACAGAAAGCAAAGTCAACAACAACACGGTTCCTCGGAATCGAATAATAGTTGTGCTATCGATTTATCTCGCTCGTTTCCTCTTAAATACCACTCCATATATTTTTAGCATTCACTAATGAACTGAATTCTATTTTTAGGTATCGAGATGCCTTACCTAGCCAAGTACGTATTGAGAGGTTCACGCCTGGTTGCGTTTTATAAGAGGGGGTATGGCACAGCCTCCCCCTTCGTTTTCTCTGAAGAGGTTCGCCGGGCCAAGTCAGAGGGTAAGCCGATTGTCGCCCTGGAGTCAACGATCATTACTCATGGTATGCCTTACCCTCAGAATTTAGAAACAGCCAAGCAAGTTGAGAATATCATTAGAGAAAGGGTACGTTGAAAAATCTTATAAAAGTCTAGTTAAGTATCAGTCCGTAGCCTCATTTACGATATGATAACCGAGCGCTAGTGCTTTGCAGGCCTTTCGTAATTACGCTCGAGATAAAGTTTTCTATTTAAATGTTTCTCTAAAAAATGTCTTCCCATTTAAAGTGTTTTTTAAATTAAACAGATTTGCGTAAATACGGGCACTTAGTTATCTTTTTAGCTTCCTTAGCTTCATCCTTGGGAATGTTGAAATTTATTATTTGTGTTATACAGGGTGCAGTACCAGCTACGGTGGCTATTTTAAAAGGTCAACTGAGTATTGGACTTTCTGAGGATGAGCTGACGTACCTAGCTCAGGCCAAGGGAGTGGTGAAGGCTTCCCGCAGGGACCTGGCGCCAATTACCGCTGCCAAGCTGGACGGGGCGACCACAGTCGCTGGCACCATCATCGCAGCTCAGCTTGCTGATATACCTGTATTCGTTACCGGTGGCATAGGTATGTAGGTACCTACAAGCGGACTTTACCCGCATTATCCATTCATATTATTTCAGATCAGACATTGGAAGTTGTATAACACTATTACTACACTCTTAATATATCTGAACTCACAAGAAATCCTATTTATGTTAACTACTGCTAATTCAATTCTAAACTCGATCTTATTAGATAACCTGCAACATTTTAAATGTCCTGGGAAATAAACCGTGGATTGAACCCGTTATTTAATTACCCACAGAAAAATATTTTATCACGTCTCTAAAAGTGATCTTTAATGAAATCGCTGGGGATACATGAATCCAGTTCTTTATTTTTGACTTGATATAAATGTTAACCCTTTTTTTCGTTCGTATAAATTAATTATTATCGTATTCGTTGTACCTACTCCAACACTACGTTCGTTGTACTTTTGTTGTTAGTATATTTTGTTACTTGGGTACAAATTGTTTACAAATTCCTGTTGTACCCGAGCCTAGATTTAATTCTAGCATCAAACAACACAATAACGTTAGTATTTTTTTTATTTAAATCTCTTGCTAACATCCAAATATGAAAAATCGTGTAGCTATTGTATGATGTTATATTATGTTTATTATGCCTTTTCTTTCTAAAACATCTGCGCAATACGAAACGTCCACAACCACGAAAGGTTGAAAATGTTTCACCATATTAGTTTAGTATAAATTACAATGCATTCGTTAGGTCGAGGTATTAAGTTGCTAACAAGCTAACAGGCTCTTACAAATAGCTTCATATGCTACACATAAAAGGACCACAAGCTCAGTACCCGCTCGGGTAAAGGCACTTGTTACCAGACATTCCGTTGCGTAAGCGGTCACCATTATTGCACACTACTAAAGGCAACCATGTTGATAATATGGTGCAGACATGCTTATCGTGTACGGAACCTTTCGGGTTAAGATTTAACAATATTGTGTAACAAATAAGTCAGAAGTAAGTAAGATATTAATAAATTGAAAGAAGCCTGATGATATGCTAAACCTTACATTACAAAATTACCTTCAATGTCTTAATGCTTGGTCGAAGCCTCTAAACAAGTTCTTGCTGAAGAATATAGATACATACACAAGTAATGTCGTTCCTATACGACTATACCAAACAATTTCCGCAACAAAGTTTCTTAATATCGCGTCTCATGTCATGGTACTGCAATTTGTTACAATTGTCAGCGAAATTACTGCGACTACTTTATAAAATTATGTAGATAACAATGCGAATTAAATTTTTCATAGCTCTTACGTTAATGTCTCGCAATATTCACACTTAATGAACCTGTTTACGACTCCTATTTAAATAAACGACAATCTTAATTAAAGGATCCAAAATCGTATGAAAGTCGACGCTGTTCACATTTAAAGTGTTTTATTCAATTGTTTAAAACGGCTTGCAGTGAACGCGTTACTAACGAGTGTAAACAAGTACTATCACGCCACTCCGGTACAAGGCAGTGCTAAGTCACGACTCGCAAATAGTAGCAATCATCGTGAAAACACCGCAAACACTTCAATTAACTGTGCTCGTGAAATTCACAAATGAATTTCAACGGTATCACGGTTGGATTCAACGCTTTGCCGGCGCATTCATTACTGCCAGTCGCATCGTGGCCATGCCGAACTGGCGATGTAATTAACAACGAATTCCGTGAAACAGAGCGCGATTTATCACCTTCTAGATAAGCAGTCGTAGTGCTTGGGTTTGTAAATTATCGTTAGAAGCAGTCTCATTCCGGTCCCGACGATTTGAATTAACGCCTGTCTGGATAAAGTTTCGCAAGAAACAGGCAAATGTCTTCCAATACCTTCACGATGGATATAAAAGGATTACGCTATATCGGCACTAAGGCAGGGTTTGGCATGGCAAAGCCAAAATGGCGACCCAACGGCCGCTGCGTCGTCGTTATCGTATCTTAGTCGATTTATTATAAAGGCACCGCGGACCACGAGCTTTGCAAGTCCACTCTTTTCAGAAAGACTGATCATTTGAATGCATTTTATCTAAAAAACGTAAATCATAATGTAAATATTACTTGCACCCAGTGAATTCTAAAACTGAGCTTGCATTTTTATAATACCTAGTTGTTTTCTTTATTTTCCTAGCTCGAAGAGTGGATCTATTCTGCGGCGAACATAATGGAATATAAATCTTATTCACGTTGCTATAATAATTGCCATCTCCGTATGTTACTTGAAAACATAAAAATATTAATGGAAATAAGACGTCTTCTGATTTAATAAGAGTGTCTTCTTTTATTCACATTTTTCATGTTTTACCTTGTACGGAGATGTATTGATATTGATGGGATATGGGAACATTTGTTTGAAATAAGATTACATCGAGTGAAATAATATTCCGTTTGTTGTTACAAATAGTTAAATATGATACTATCCAACAGTGTGTAGTATTTATTTACTGGCGAAACTTTCAATAAAAAAATAGTACTAGAGGGTCGATTTATCTTTAAATTCTATCCCAAGCAATTAGGCGTTCAAATATGCGAAAAATTATGTAATACTACTGTTTTTTTTTGTGTATCCCTTTTTTCGAGGGAATAGAAAAATTTGCTATTAAGTACACAATAGACTAATATTTTCTGATTGCAATGAAAAAATTTACTCACATATTTTGAAATTGCAGCGTGGTGGAGCATACACACTATATGCAGTATAGTTATACATACATTGTACAAAACTATGTCGGAGCACGGTGTACGGGTACATATACCGACTACGTATTTTGCCCACCAGTAGTGATGTAATAATCCAGTTTCCCGTAGCCCGGCCAAAGTACTTTCCCGACGTTTTATTACACTCACACAATCGGAGATATTTGTAATTTTGACTTTTCAGCACTTTGGTCATATCGATTCGTTATAGATACTTACAAGAAACTTTTATCTGGTTTTCCCCAAACTCTGTACGCTTGAAACCATTCAAGACAAATATTTTCGAACGGCAGTTCTTTTAAACAATTTTACAACTAAATCTCAGTGTGTTTTAAATAGAGATTTTTTCTCTCCCTTTTCACGATTCCCTTTTCTCAATTTCTTAGTAGCAAATGTTTTCAAACAACATTTCTAAGTTCGAATAGGTACCCACTCTGTATATTGGCAATATAGATTATTTCTCGCAGGTGGTGTGCACCGTCACGGCGAGAACACATTGGACATATCGGCGGATTTGAACGAACTGGGACGCAGCAATACCCTCGTCGTTTGCAGTGGAGTTAAATCCATATTAGACATTGGACGAACTCTGGAATACTTGGTAAATACATAAGCTCTCGATATTGCATATGGCTTTGCAAAGCGAGACAACTTCGTAGCTGGTCAGTTTCCAAGTAGCCATTTCTCGGTACTGGATCGCACATAAAGATAAAAGATTTTTCTCTCTCTTGTGTTTTATGACGTGAACAGTACAATGTAGATAAATAATTGGAGAGCATAAAATACGTCATTTTTACTTGGGCAATTCCCACTTGACTGTCCTTTTGTCGACCGTGCCGTGCTCAAGGCGCTTTTTGATTCAAAATCAGAACAAAGTAAATTCTCGTACCGTCATATTATTTCTGTTTTACTTACTTAGTGAAAGAAAAACACAGTATCCAGGTCGCTAGGCTACGGCGTATATTCTAAGATATGCCCGAGGGAAGGTGGTTACTAAGCAAATAACAAACCTAACTGCTTCTAAGATCTCTACTTTAACGAAGAAAATTATAGATTTTTGTCTACTCAGTTATCGATAGAAGACAGAAAACTTGCACATACGCTAAGGCTGACCATTGGAATACATCGTTAGGAGAAGTTAATGTTTGCGTAACATGGTATGCAACAGTATGCCATTAAATAAACGACTTATGCAAAGAAGCAATATAAACATTTTTGTGTTTAACAATTTGGTATACAGAAACATTCCTCTTTTACAGGAAACACAAGGGGTTTGCGTTTGCGCGTTCGGTGAGTCGTCAGACTTTCCGGCGTTCTATACCGCGCGGTCAGGATTCACAGCTCCGCACCGCGTGGGCGACGCACAGCAAGCTGCACGCGTGTTGCACGCAGCACGCCAATTGGAACTCGCGTCCGGGATCGTTGTAGCCGTACCGGTGCCACAGGAGTATGCTATGGATGGTAGGAAGTACTTTAAAAAGCTAGACTTTTTACATTATCCTACATTTGTTACATTTGTTACATTTTATAACAGTTTTCTTAAACTACCTAGATATATCTTGGTATTTAATCATTAGTTAGGAGTTGTGTTATAAGTAGTATATCAGACTATTAAGATAAGTATACTTTCCCAGTTGTACTAACTTTAAGACCCACATTTAGCTTTTCTATAAAATATGCAAGACAAAGAAAACTACCTTGAAAACTAACAATTTAAAAAGTGCAATCATTCTTTATTCCTGTAAAAATCGCAACCGTACAACGTATTTCATAATTTATCGAGATTGTTCTAAAGCTGCTCATTATGCGCTACTCCGATTATGCAGCGGTGAATAATAAAAAGTATAAACCAAACTAACCCGACAAGCAGACGGTAAAGAAATGAGGTAACTTTTACTATAAACCTTTAATTAAAGAACGCGAAGGACCATTTACTCTGATAACTGAATTGAACAAATTTCTGATAAATAGTAATTACATGTCGTAATATATTCTAGACTTATTGATAAAAAGTAAAACTTTATTAGTAAAAAAAATTCAATCTAAACGTTTCAACGATCGACTATCCAGCTCCAGTAATCTATTAAGCCATCTTAAATTAATTAATTGAAATAGACGTATTTATTGTTTACAGAGAAAATAATAGGAGAAGCAATTAATAGTGCTCTCAAGGAAGCTGATCGGAAAGGCATTTTTGGCAAAGAAGTGACACCATTCATTCTCGCGGCGGTTGCCAAAGCTACGAGCGGCGCTTCACTCAATGCCAGTATCCTTTTAAGAAAAATAATTAAGAAACAATACGACTCACTAGTTCTGCATAACGACAAATTATGCATACCTGTGAATGGCCCATTAAAACTCCTATTATCAGAATAATAATGAGACCATTAAAATCCTTAATAAGACTTAGCAACTCCGTAATTCGGTCGTAAATTAAACCTATACAAATACCACTCTATAAATGATAGCAGTAAAGCTAATTGCCACAATATATTTCTTGAGCAATTCACAGATATCGCTTTAATAAAGAACAACGCAAAAGTCGGTGCCGATATCGCAGTCGAATTTAAAAAACTCAAGAACGGTGACGATTCTAAGAATGCGTTTAATATTGGATTGTCGAAGGGCGCTGGGAAATGTACGTCCAATTCTTCGAGACATTTTCACACTTCGTGCAGCAGACGGGCTGATGAGAATCCTTTGTTCTCTGGAGACAAGAAGTGCGGGGGTGATGTGTTGGTGATCGGGGGAGCGAACGTCGACCGCGTTTATAGGTTGAAGGAAGATGGCGTGCAGGTAAGTCTATGATTACCTTACCTGCATGCTAAAACGATGTTCATTTTGGTAACTTCGTACATATTGAAGTCGTCGAGAGTAACAACTAGACATTATAATCTTGTAATCATAATAAAATGAATTCGATTTTAAGTAAGTAAGTATTAGAAAACTGTAATTTTATGATTTTCAAACTGTATGTGTGTAAGTCATTACATAGTAAGTAATCAAATAAAAAACCGCAACATTTTAACAAACTCTTTATTTAATGCATTTATTATGATAATATTAGCTCTCAGTCGCCTAGTGCGTACCTTCGGAAAGTTGTAACAACTCTACTATAATAATGAAACACACTGAACGAGGAAAACATTCAAAATATAGTGACAGTAGAGAATTCAAAAGATTACGTACAATGTACACCATTCATATGTTAATATTGATACAGATCACATCGGAACAGATCTCACACAATAATAAATTGATACTTTATTCGTAGACATTTACGTTTTCTGTACATTTGTGTATATAATTATTCCATGTGTATACTAGTAAATAGAAAAAATCCAGTGAACTAAACAATAACAAACTTAGCAGAGAGTGAAACAAGGAAACATTGAGTTGAAGTGAACGTTCGAGTTAAACAACAAGACGTAGTAAGAGAATCGAGAGTACAGCCCGAGTACAGTGTACGTACGAGTATGTCGGAAGGTGTAGGCAGCACATCAGACACGAGCTCGTGTTTACTTTATATTCATTAATTTACAATAAACATAACGTCAGTTATACATTTTATAAGCCAAGGCACATGTTATTTTTACCGTTTTTTGGAAGAAATGCAGGATTTAGATTGGATCCTAGCTACAAATTATTCAACTTTCCGAATATAGGTACAAATTTTTATAAGATTGGTACATTCATGTGACAACAATATTAAAAAACTATGTTTCTGCATAAATTCACAAAATATTATACCTACTCTAAGCGAACATAACTTCGTACTCGTCATTACAATATATCTATAAAGTTAGTTCGTAAAAGTACAAATATGTATGAATGTAGGTACGTGTAACGTGGTCGAACCGTCGAACGCAGGTCGTGCCGCTCAGACTCGCTCCACCGTGCACGGCAGCTATCGGATCGTGACTCCTACACACGTCGTCGATAGGTTTTACCTATATTTGACACAGCCATTAATAAATTTACCTAATTCCTTACACCATGAGATTATTGTAATATTTTATGCGCAGTCTAGACTCATAGCGCGATCTCTTTAAACTTTTAGCAAAACGTCTGTATTCTGTCAAGACAATCATAAAATGTGGTACTTACGAAACATTTTAAATTCTTCTGCCGTAAACTAAAATGTCATTAACAGTGTATTCGTTCACTTTATACTGTTTACAAGCATATAATTGTAGGCACTACGTCGTTTAAGCTCATATCAGTACTATGTATTTTGTCAATCTGTCCATGCACAATTACTCGCATACTACACATGTACAAATTTTGTTTATTATTTACATTTACCGACAACATTAGGTATGATTATGAGAACTAGATAAATAGACGATGAGCGAGGAAGGTCGCGGCTCACGCTTGTCCGACTCATGTAAGGAAAGCGGACTGAACTCAACTAGTCGGGGTAGTCGTGCAAGGGATGAACAGGTAGACATACTTAGAATAAACTAACACTTCTATTATACAAATGTTACGACCTAAGGAAAATAACTCAAGTGACAGCGTAGGTACAAGTTCCGTGCAAGCGAACCATTCGATTTACAATCCATTACGAATAGGTATATCAAAATGTATGACAAGCATTCAAGGGAAGGAGTTTTTGCCGACTCTATATTCAGCTACCAAACCAAATAATAAATCTATAATTTAATAAGTAGGTATATTTATATCTAATTTATCGCCATGCTCAGTGGTTACTATGAGCATGCGGGCAAAAACCACTAAACTGAACGCGTTGTCATTGGTATTACACACTATGGCAATATATTTTAACATATACATACAATTTCAATTGAAGACAATGAGTAAAATGACATGAAAATTTGTAAAATACATATTATAATAATTATGTCCATAAATCTATTGGTATACAATCAAAAACTGTTATGTCTTAGTGCTAAACAATCGTCATAATTAATCTTATATTGGTTGATTCCCGTTATTTTACTGCTATAAATATTAAAATCGTAATCGAGTATACAGATACAATATTTGTAGGATGGATTTACTGCGCTCTCCTAGTAGCTATAGTATGCGTCATATTGTTTGCCCGGAGACTGCATTTCCTCACATGCTGTACGCGTCACGATGTCACGATACCTCGAGTATCTATCTATCTTCCTAGGGACCGTAAAGTAAAACATCGGTGTGTCCTATGCACCTACAAAACGAATATTTAACGGCCAAATTTAGGAACATAACACAAGCTTTGCTCGAAAATTGATTCACTTTGTCTAAATTACACAATAATCTTTCGATGCACGTTCATAATGTTCACCATGTTCAGTTCATGTCTCACAAGTCCAAAATGTTCGGATCGTCATCACTAACACTCACTTGCATCGTTGGGTCAGTTTATAACGCTACCACTATAAACATAATACAGTTTAGTCCTACCGATAACATCGGTACTCACAATTGACTGCGCCAACAAAAACGATAGTCACGACGTAATGCAACGACTTATCGTGTCGTAGGCTATAACTTACAACTCAAATTCGGAGCGGGTGTGACGGCGGTGGTCGAGCCGCACGCGCGCGCCCGCGGGACGGCGCACGCAGCCGGGCGGCACGCGGCCCAGCGGTGGCTCCAGCTCGCAGCCCGCCGCCGGGAACGAGCGCCAGCGCCGCCCGAACAGCCGCTCCAAGTAACATCTTAGTCAGATCCGAGTCGCTGCACTGTCTGCCGCCAGTGGCCTGTAGTCACCTCGAGCCAGCTCGCGCATCTCACAGTTGTTGTTTCCATTTATCGTCTTGGGACCTAACGGTTCGTCGTGTATGCTCCGCCGCGGGCACGGCTCCGACGCTCGCCCCAGTAGTGCCTCGCGCTCACCCGCGCGTTCAGGGCTACCACCATGAGCTCGCACTCCTCCGTTTGCATTGACAGCATTCACTATTATCGTTTGTGATAATGGTCCGCCATGTATAGGACTACCGTCGAGTAATTCACCTGCTCCCAACTCGCTTCGTAAAATTCTAATTTTTTGAATCATCTCCTTTATTTCGTATCGGAGGATTCCAAGGAAGCACAATTTTAAAAATGCTATAACACAATATCCTAATACGAACAACGCGTCTGCAGTTCGTCGAAGCCAAACTAGTAGTCTCTCTGAGCAGGCGGCTGTGTGCGGCGCACAATGCACGGGAGTGAACGGCGCCGGGGACGTGGCAGATGTGACGGCCAGTAGCGCCGGCGTGACTGAAGTCGTGTGCGCTGGGATACGACAACAACTAGCCGGGAGAGTAGTTCTATTGAAAGCCGCGAAGTCTGCCGGCCCTGTGACACCGCAACACCGCTGTTCTCTCTGTAGGCGGTCCCAAGCTTGTGAAAAGTCAATATCCGTGTCGTAATCTTTTGCGAGACGAAGCCGTAATTGAGGCCGAAGCTCGCGGCAAACTCGTTCAAACCTGAACGCCCAATAAACACCTATTGCGGCGTCCCCAACAAGCAGTGCTAAAAGTGCCAACCAATAGGCATTAAGCATTCGTTCAGAGAGTCTTAATGCCGCTAGACAACCGAGAAGCTGCAGCAGCCCCGCCTGCGCGGGCAGCGCCGCGTATCCGTAGAGGAAGCCTGGCTGAGCCACGCCGAGGCCTGGCACCAGCGCGCGCCGGTAGTCAGAGAGCGCGCGCCCCGCTGCCGCGCAGAATGCGAGCGCCCCTAGCAACAGCGCGCCGTTGCACGCGTAGATCCAGATGCGGTAATAGCGCATTGCGCGGTGCGCGGCGGGGTGCGCGGGGCGCGCGGGCGGCGGCAGCGTCATGGTGGCGGGCGCCGCGTCATGGCGCCGCCCGCGCCCGCGCCGCCGCCACGCGCCGCGCCCCACGCCTCTGTCAACACAACCACAACACTCATTACCAATCTGATTAATGATGATCAATAAGTCACTAACTGCCAATCCCATACTTTCCCAGAGACGACAATGCATCAGCAACAGGCTTGATTGTAAGCTAGGTACCATAAATGTTCTTATAACATAACACATGAGCACATTTTCAGTGCGCTTGTCTGCACTGTGAAATAAAATACGCGAACAGGCTCTTATGATCAATGGTACTAAGCGCTGGAATACAATTAAAAAAACACTACTGATCAACAACCGTCGCTAAAGAGTTTCTTTAATTCTCTGTATTTGCATTTGAGATGCGGACTGGATCGTCCAATTAAATGAAAATATCGAGCTGAGACAGTTTACTTCTTTTTTTGTATACATAAAGATTTCCCGAGTCACTTAATTCGTTTGGGCATATGTACTGGGGGAAATTAGGTTCTGTTTATACCAATTCTTGATAAGTTTGTGTCTAATTAATAGTAAATGCAGTAATGGGCTAGTCATTCAATAACATCCAGACGTAAATACAACTTACACTCTCCATCCTTATTGGTTAACTAGACCGGTTTTATATTCTTTAAAAATATTGAAATGGTTGTATCATCATCATCATCAACAGCCTATAAATTCCCACTGCTGAGCAAAGCCTCTTCTCACACGGAGAAGGTTAGAGCATTAATCTAATTGATTAAAGAAATGGTTGTATTCTATTGCTAAATTGCTAGAGGCAACGCCATAGATGGTAAGAATGAATGTGTGCTTACAATCCGCCGCCCGTGCCGTGCGCTAGAGCTCTGGCTAGTCACAGGAGAGGGCGCGCGACCCTCAGTAGTACGCCTACCACGCCGGTGCGGGGCCTGTAACAAACAAATATAAAATTCCTAAATAAACTTTGATGGTCAAAAAGGAAACCATAATGAGGAATAATAATGATAAAGAAGGCATAATGAGAATTGTCTCGTTATTCCTTCCTTAAATTAGGGCTTATTTATACGTCCTGTAACTATGCAGCGGTTTGGTGACTGCTAGAATAAAAATTTGTGTTGACTAATAATAAAGTTTAAATTGCATTAATTAATAAGAAATTATTAGGTATGCGACCAATACTCGGACACCGCCTTGTGGGATAATTTTCCTGTATTATCCGACGGGACCTACTTTGATGAGGATATCAATATAAGAAGCATAATAATACTATTATTATTTAAAGTCACAGAAATTGTACTTGGTTTTCCTTAATGGAGTAAACGAGCAGACGGATCACCTGATGGTAAGCAATCGGCGTCGCTCATGGACACCTGGAACACCAGAGGCGTTACGCACTTACCGGCCTTTTGGGATTAGGAATTTGAGGATTGTTGGGGATTCAGGGATTGGGGAAAGGGGGGGAGGGTAATTGTGTGGAAGAGCCATGCTTTGGCATGAATGGGCCGCCTCGACCGGAGTGATACCACGGCCTCACAGAAGACCTACGTAAAACACCGTTGTGTTGTGTTTCGTCATGAGAGTGAGATTACCGGATGCCCAATTACTCCAATTACTCAAGATTGCTACGGTGCCGTAGCAATCTTGAATGCTGCCGTAAATAGATAAATACGTATTTTCCCTTTAGTACGTTATTCAACCACTAAAATAAAAACAAAATTAATTTACATAACAGGCCGAATACATAGAATAAAACAGTAAAAAAATGATTACCTTCTTACAAAAAATACACATAGGTTAATAGTTTTCGTAATTTTTGCTATATTTCCAAAAAGGTTTAAATCTAAACAAATATTTTTACAGGCTGAATTTAAAAAGGAATAAATTGTCAACCATATGAATAATAGAAAAAGAAAATTAAGAATAAATCTTAATGGCATTCTTACAATATTTTAGTCAATAACAACCAGTTTTAACCTCTTTAGGTAGGTTGATGATTAAAAGAGGTTTCGTTTTAAACATTTTTCATTTTTTTTAATAAAATAATTAATGCGAGTTTAAAACGATTTTTAACGTTTTCTTCATTTTTATACCGGGCTCATAAAATCTGAAGACATATAAAAATAAAAACAGCAATTTAATTTTTAAAATAATGGCGTTTTAACAATATTTTTGGCAAATATATGGTCAGTTTTATTATATGTATGCAGGTTTTATAATGAAAAGGTTTCACTTGAAAATAATATGTTAAAAAGAACACAAGAAAAGATTTTATTTAAAAGTATGTACTACATATTAGATTCAACCTAAGAAGTATAACGTCAGTTTTGGTATTTACTGGAGCCACTATCTTTTAACATAAATAAACAACGTTCAGTAAGTTAACTGCCGTCGTCGCCATTGTTGTGACTTGGTGTTATATCGGGGAACATGGCCGTATTGTTGGCAGACGCCGAGCCAACTTGTTGTAGAAACATACTGCAACTAACTGTCTACGATATACATATTTCTCTGCAACTCCATTTACATTTTCAAACAGAGCTACGTAATGTTACATTTTCAGAAAAAATATTAATGTTACTCTCAAAAAATTTCATTTATAAATTACCTGATACTTACGGAAAAAGAATAACTTACGTTATTTTTCAGGTATACTTAGAATTTTACGACGGGAATTTTAATATAACCAATGACAATCAAAAGTGGTTATATTATTAAATACAGCAAAATAGATAATGATTTTTTGCCATTAACTCGTCGAGTACCGCATTTATAGACACAATTAAAGAACAATAGGTTGCGGTCACCGGTGACCGCTTGGTGTTTGACAGTTTAAGTATCTACAAATATTTTTTTTGCAAATACTTTGTAACTGATTTTTGAAAGTATCGCATGTGTTATAAAACCTAGTTACGTAAAACCAGTCGTGGAAACAAAAAGTTAGCTTGATTTAGTTCCCTGACTCTAACTATCCTAACTGGCACTAAGCTCTTTCATGAAAACAGTGGATGAACTCTCTATTTCCAAAGGCTTTTATTTTCCAGTAAAGCAAGCAATTTAAGACCCAACGGCGTTTCAAAAACAAAAAAGAAATATTTTGACAGGTCCTCTCAGTTAAAAAAAATGTTAAATAAAACTTAATACAGCTTTTAAAGTACTGAAAGTAAACATTACTCTCTATACTTGGTCCCTTTTATGTTCGTGTAATACTTGAAGTGTACATAAAATAATATACGAGTAAGCCAACGACTAAAAAGGACGTATAGAGCGGTTTAAACTTTATTTCCTTTGAGCACTTACTGTGATGGAAGTACAAAGGCTGAAACTGACACTCATTTCAAGCTTCGCCGACATCATTGGATAATCCACGTCATTTGTACTTAAAGGGAATACTCCTAGTGTACACAACAAACTCCAAGATCACACAAACATTTTACCATTTTGGGTTTTCTTTATTGATGAAAGGTCAGCCAAAACTTGTGAAGGTGCCACAACGTAACCTCTACGACAACAGACCGTAATGGCCAGCCCTGACTCAAAAGACAACACTAAAAATATCACGGCGACATTATATTAACAAACACAATAGCACCAAGAACTTGACATTCACGCCGTCACAGATAATGTAGCACCTAACTAGCTAAGGCATTCACTGACCTAACCTAAACCTTCGTTACAATGCTCAGTCCACGAAAGGTTACCTCACAAGATTGATAGTAGGTAGGCATACTTCATGCCATTCAAAATTAATTAAGCACAAAATTCCACGTAAACCTTTATTAGCCGTCATTTTCTTTCACTGAAAAACATTTGTTTTCATAGTTTTGCACAACGACGAGCACATAAAATAAACATGTACATATTAAGTACTTGCTTGGGCTTTTATTGAGTACGACTAGTTACTTCATTGCTTCGAGTTAGCTCTCTTTTTAGAACTCGATTAATGGTTTGACAATAATTTGTAAAGGATTGAAAACAGTGTGTTCGATTCATATCACGCCCATGTCGTACGTTTTGTAGACACCTACCAATAACACGTGATGCTTTAGCATTAGAAAATAGCATTTTATTTGCATTACTTGTTTGGGTAAAAAGGACGAAAACGACGATCTTCTGACGATATAACAAGAAGAACGTGACTCGAGATACTTCTTTGTTTGATGCCGAACTCTTTGAGTGTGACATTGATTGCTACATTTTCATTTCATGTTCAAAATCTAAGCGTGCCGCGGCCTTGTAAGTTACTATACAAAAATAAATCGTGAAGTTGAAACCCTCTGATATCGGTTGAGTGACTGCCTCAGCTCAGTGAATGACGTGACCTGTCTTTAGCTCTGGTTGTATTTTCCCTGTTTTCACAATTTCCGCGTTGAGTGGAACATTCAGTTCGACCTGGGTGCTACGTCCGTTATTGAATATTTCGTTGAGAATTGTTAATTAATTCCAGTGGAATTTCGTACGGACGGTGTGTACATAAATAGAAAGTTTGCAAACGTCGACAACAAAATGAAACATGTTTTTTGTAAAATCAGCATGACTGTAAAATGTTTATCAAAATAAATTTTGTATTCTAACGCTTTTATGAAGCTTATCTTTTTGCAGTTTGTTTATCAGTTACATTTCAGCACACTAGCATTGAGTATCACATACGTCTTATCAATTAGCTAATTTGTACACTCATTCAGTTCTGAGGGTACAATTTAAAAAGTGATTTTGTGTAGCGCGATGAATAATTCAGTGGCTGACGCAGCGTGTTACTGTGTTGCCGAGTGAGCTTACGTCTGCGACGACCCGTGTCACGCGCCCATCCACGATACTGTCGCAGTAAGCAACCTCCTGGAGATTTGGTATTTTGTTCTGTCGCATCAGTGTGTATTAACAGTCGCTTACGCAAGATGTGATTTACTGCGGCCGCCCCTAACAAGCGCAGGACCCTTATATCACATTCTATATACTGACTTTCTGAACGTTCGTTTCTTTTTGTAAATACGGACATCTCTTGTACATATTTATTTTAGAACGATTATTTGAAAACCTTTGAAGTTTTGTGACCAAATATAGACACGAAATAATTTCGATTCAAATGTGACTTGGTACAAAATTGAATCCGTTTGATGTCGGCCATGAACATAAATAGGCTCTCAGTGGCGCGCTGTCTATTCAAGGAATCAATAGTCGCAATTATGAACGATCAACTGACTCTTTTTGAACTGTAAAGCTAGTCTGACTGTACCACGGCTGCGGCTTACAGAGGCTGCACACACAGATAATGAATCTGTCAACGTGCACAGTCAAAGCTAAAAGCAAAGCTGACATAGTGATGGGAAAGTGGTTTCATACTAAGCGATGTTGTCTCTTTTTAATTAATCAATGTGATCATAATGTTTGTATGTATGTTTAATCGTACGTTTAGTTCCAGTTATAATTTATTCTATTATCATTTGCAACGTATTGCAACCACATGCAACCTAAATCTAAACGTATCCGTTAAATATTATGATTCAAATCCTCAACTATTCCAATATTCAGGTTACCGAGAACTGACCGGCTAACTAAAGTAATAACAGTTTCCCCACAGTTTGCTTAAACAAGATAGCTCGTTGTTCAAATAATGTCTGATGCTAATTAGCCTTATTGTAAATGTCTAGCTTTAATTTCTAAACCTATTGATAAGTACTTATGCTCTAATTTGGCGACTATATTGTAAGTATTATTACATTTACATAACCTGCTTTTATAGTCCGATATCATATACCTAGTTTAATCCTCCAAATATCGGCCGTTGATACTGTTAGAGCATTGAAAAGTGCGAAGCGTGGCGTTGGAAATAAAACCATCGAGTACGAATATCCGTGCGTTCGCCGCTTCGCATCACTAAATGCCCGATCGCTGCACTTCGATATACCGGGCGCTTTGTTTTCTCACCCATTTCAACTTTTGATCTCCAGTGTCATTGTCTGTTTGTATTTGATTCAGCCAACTCGATCTGTGTTTATTGCGGAAGTTTCCAATCAGATCCGACATGTTACTTTGTAAATTACGGTACCTAATGTTTCAAAACCGTTTTGTCTTTAGAATACAAGAAACATGCAATTGAGAAATTACAAGAGATTTGTATGTGTTTAGAAGTTGTGCGTATAATCAATATGGCTTATACCAATTATCTAACAGGATAAGCCGACCGACAAGCAACATATATGTATTTACCAACATGTAACATTGTACACAATACAGCTCCAGAATCGGATTTCCGTTACGATAATAATTAGATATTATTATACGGCTATAGACATGATACGTATCCGTAGAAACGACTAATTGTGTAAGTCACTGATATAGAAACATTTTTAATGAACAATTTACTAAAGCAAATTCTTAATATACACTGCGGCATACTATAAACTTAGGATCGCATAGATAATTCTGAAATTATTATCCGCTACGAAAGGAGAATTTCGAAATTCCATCCCTTGTTATACAGACGGTAAAATACCAAACAAATGACGTCGCAGACTTGCTATAAAGTGTAAAAACTTATCCTGTTTAGTTGTGACACGACAAACTGAATAGAAAATACAGTGGATATCTTTCAGCTTCATCACAAAACGTTTTCTTTTGAAAAATAAAGTTATCCCTGTCACAAGTCAGGGCGTTCGCGATAAGTATCTTGTGCCATGCTTTTATTAAATATTTTTATTACTTTACTCGCTCATAAATAGCATCATATATTCCCTTGTACCAAGAAAATAACGTAAATATTTATTAAATTCTCATGTATGAGGGCACACATGTTTCGGGGAGCATTCACAATCCGCTTCCCTTCAAATTGAGTTAACTACTTTAGAGAAAGATTAAGCAACTCCTACACTCCTTTAAATGCCGTAGAACGTGTCCTGAATTCTCGCAAAGAGATTAGAGATGTGATAGGAGTTTCAAGAAGGGTTTGTACACAGTAATTCATATCTGAACGTACAATCTTTGAAATTTTTCGTATTACTACATACAAAGCAGAGATTCATGAAAACTTCATTTGAATTTGAAACAAAATACCTACTTATTTGATGAATGTTTATTAAAATAACATAGGTAGCAGTAATTATGTTTGTTTTAGTTTGAACATAAAATAACATATTGATATTTGATCTAAAGTATTAATTTTATGATCGAAATTCATCGTGCATACTACATAGTATTTTTATCATATAGGTAGGTATTTTCCGCTATTACAAAGCCGTGGATGAGTTGCAAATAGACAGATTCTCCGGATAGTTATTTGTTAGCACAAGACGAAAAGTAGTCATAACTTTTGAACCGTTAAGAATCGGACCAACATTCTCAGATCAAAAAACTAGGGAATGTAGTAATTAGTTTTTTGAGGGCCCTGTTCGATTGGATCCACACTTCCAGGGTCACCTGATATTATATCGTCTTCGTCATTGAACTCGTTCGTCAGGTCAGCTAGTGCAAAACAAAAACAAATGACAAGTTAATGACGTCAGACACAAAATGACAAGGACAGACCCGGACATGTGTCGTGTTCTCTTTCTAAATCCAGATTATTGCCGCCTTCAAAACAATGAAAAACAAAAGACATGTCAATGACGTCAGACACAAAATGACAAGGATAGAAGTAGGTATATATCGTGTTCTTTTTATAAATCCAAATTATTGCCGCCTTTAGAACAATGCAAAATAAAAACAAATGCCACATCAATGCCGTCAGAAAGAAAAAGGCAATTATAAAGACATCGCGTTCTCTTTTTAAATCCAAATAATTATGATCCGCCTTTGGTAGAAACTATGTCGTGTATCTTGTTTGTACTTGACCATAATTAAACGTTTTTAAACATATAAATAAAATCAAAGAATAATAAACTAAAGAAACAATTTAATCAATTTAAAAAATTAAATCAATTTAACAATTGTGTTGACATGAGACATAGACATATTATTATGTTAAAAATTTGGGGGTCTCGAATATATTTTCTAGTAGGCAGAGCAAGGTTCTATCAGCCACCTTTCAATTCCATCATCAGACCAGGTCGATTGGTTCAGAATATTGTATGGTCATCTAATCAAGATGGAAAAATGACAACTTTTATAATGATACCACAACATATTTGTAATCCAAAGTCTTAGATTTATAACATAATTCGATATAAGTCGACCTAATATGTACAAGCATGTTAAAGAGATTGGAATTAAAACTCAATAGCTATCGTTTGTTCTTATACCAACTTCGAATCAGGACTGAAGTAATGTTGCGAGTCTTGGAAAACGTTGTAACAGGGTGTAAGAGCAGCTGCCGCTGGCGAGGTGCCAGCCCTCGTACAGACAGACCTACAGCCTACAGC